GCTCGGTCGCTCACTAGGTCCAACCCTGCGCCTGGATTCCGCGCGCCTGAGTCCGTCTGACCGAGTCCTCGTGTGCAACCCCGCTTCACCAGCCACTAGTTTCGCCCCTTACCAGTCAGGCTGAAGAATTTGTTGTTAACGGACTTCCGAAAAGTTCAATTTTCCGTGTTCTGGTTGTGTTTTCTGTTGCTAATATTTAGTTGTCTCTAAACTTGGTTGTGTGAGAAGGCGCGGCACATCCACCTATGCCTCCTTCTTGGCGAAAGTCTCAAGGGACACTGTTTTACCAGAGCAAACCTGCTGGGGTTTTATCAGGGCTAACCTATGTGGAGGAAGGGAAATACTGAACTCTATTTGGCTCCAGCCTTCCAGCAGGTGGAAGGGAAATGCCCAATTCCAGCTCCCATTAGCCATGCGTTTCACCTAAGGCATCGGGTGTGGTGGCAGTGGGTACTGAGAAGCACTACAGAGTCCACAGTCCAGAGGCTTTCCAAAAAACCAAGGCCTAGTAATAGGACTATAAAATGTTTCTCCTTCCCTCACACCTTACCACAACACCACTAAAGTTCTATTTGCCAGAGTTCTTTTCACCTAGTACATTGTGAAATGTACTGATTTTAACAAAAATTAGAAGACATTCTAAAAGGCAAAAATCGCAATTTGAAGAGACTGAACAAGCATCAGGAGAACCAGAGTCAAATATGGTAGGGATGTTGGAATTATCAGACTGGGAATTTAAAAGAGCTATAATTGATATGCTAACGACTGTGCTAGAAAAAGTAGCATTCAGGAACAGATGGATAATTAAGCAGGGAGATAAATATTCTAATAAAAAATGAAAAGAAAATATTGGAGATCAAAAACACTAACAAAAATGAAGAATGCCATCGATGGCCTCTTTAGTAGACTGGATATTGCTGAGAAAAGAATCGCTGAGCTTGAGAATATGACAATAGAAACTTTCCAAAGTGAAAAGCAAAGAGAAAAAAAAAGACTAACCCCTCCCCCCACAATATCTAAGACCTGCAGGAAAACTAAAAAAGGTGTAACATACAAGTAATGGGAATACTAGAAGGAGAAGAAAGGAATTAAGCAATATTTAAAACAATGAGCAGGGATTTCTCCAAATTAAAGTCAGACACAGAACCAGGAAACTTAGAGAACACCAAGATCAGGAAGAGAAATGCCCCTTCAAAACACACTTAAGCATATAATATTCTAACTTCAGAAAAATCAAAAAGAAAAAAAATCTTGAAACCAGAGAGGGAAAAACACCTTACCTATAGAGGAACAAAGATAAGAATTACATCCAACTTCTCCTTGAAAATCATGCAAGCAAGAGAGTGAGATATAGCATTTAAAATGTCAAGACAAAAACTACCAACTTAGAATTCTGTACCCTATAAAATTACCTTTAAAAAGTAAAAGAGAAGTAAAGATTTTCTCACAAAAATAGAAATTGAGGGAATTTGTAGCCAGTAGACCTGTCTTGCAAGAAATGTTAACAGGTTCTTTAGAGAGAAGGAAAATTATATAGATCAGAAATTCAGATCTACATAAAGATAGGAAGAGCATTGGAAAAGAAGTAAATGAAGGTACAATAAAAAGTTATATTTTTCTTATTCTTAATTGGTCTAAAAGATAACAGTTTGTTCAAAATAATAGCAGCCATGTGTTCAGCTATGTAATATGTATACATACATATACTTATGTATAAGTAAAATGGATGACAGAAATTATACAAAGGATAGGAGGGAAGAATTAGGAGTATTTTATTATAAAGTATTTGTCCTACCCATGAAGCAGTATAATGTTATTTAAAATTGATATGGATTAGTTATAAATGTATAGTGCAAAGTCTAGGGTGACACCTAAAAAGATGTGCTAAAAGAAGTATAACTGGTATACTAACAAAAGAGAGAAAATAGAATTACAAAATCTCAATTAAAAAACTACAAAAGACAGAAAAAATGTGGAAGACAAAAATAGGAACCAAAAACAATGGCAATAAATAGAAAATAGTAACAAGTTGGTTAGATATTAATCCAACTATATCAATAATCACTGTAAATGTCAATGATCTAAATAGAACAATTAAAAGAGAGGGATTGTCAGATTGGATTCAAAACAAGACCTAACTATACATTCTCTACAAGAAACCCACTTTAAATATGAAGACACATAGATTAAAAGTAAATGGATGGGGGCCCTGGCTGGTGTGGTTCAGTGAATTGAGAGCTGACCTGCAAACCAAAGGGTCTCTGGTTTGATTCCCAGTCTGGGCACATGCCTGGGTTGTAGGCCAGGTCCCCAGTACAGGGCGTGGGAAAGGCAACCACCCATTGCTGCTTCTCTCTCTCTTTCTCCTTCCCTTCTCCCCTCTCTAAAAATAAAGAAATACAATATTTTTTTTAAAAAGTAAATGGATGGGCAAAAAATATCATACTAACATTAATGAAAAGAAAGCAGGAATAGTTATATTTGTAATTATACATGTACTTTCAGACAAAACAGATTTCAGAGTGAGGAGTTATCAGGGATAAAGAGTATTACATATAATGATAAAGGGGTCAGTACTTCCTGATGACAAAATAATTCTGCCTCCTGTACACACCCTGACCAGGGATCGAACCCACAACCTTTTCATGTGGGGAAGACACACCAACCACCTGAGCCATCCAGCCAGGGCCAGGGCCCTGCATTTTGAAGGCCCAATAGACTGGGACCACACTGCATTCCTGAACAAAAGCTAAGGCAGGTGACAGATTGGCTAGCTGCTCTAATGGCGGAAACAAAGAAGAGGCTGCTGCTGCACTGGGATAAGCTTCAACCTCAAAGTTTATCTGGACAAAGAAAACTCAAGTGTTTCCTGTACACTAGATGTGGGCCACATACAACACATCTATACCCAAGAGAGATGTCATGGTATTGTCATGGATCTGTCCAGAAGGGCTGCCTAAATATGCAAACACATCTCAACAGAAAAATGCTGGAGGTCTCACAATGTAAACAACCAGTTGGAATAGAAATGTATTTGTGGAGATCAAGAACTCAGCAGATGAGAGATCACCTAAAGTACCCCACGAAAGAGTCAGCTTTAAAAGTCTGCCACATCCAGGAAGCAATGATGTTAGAAAATGTTAACAATGATGTTAGAAAATGCAGCATGGTATGGGCAGGTGCACTTGTAAATCACCAATCATGAAATGGGCAGGTGTGTTAAGTCTTCAAAAAAAATTAACTGAAGCCGAACACAGTCTCGCAATGACACCAGCTGGTGCACTGATGCAGATGGGTTCCTAGAACACTCACCTAGCAGGGGAAGCCTGTACTACAATGGCTAGTCCTGCAGAGGATAATTCTAGGTTTTTGTGGGTTCTCCCTTATAGAGTCACTTTGAAAATAGCTTGGCAGTTTCTTACAAACTTAAACATACACTTATACAATCCAACAATCCCACTCCTGGATATTTATCTAAGAGAAGTGAAAACTTACATTCACCCCCAAATCTGTATATAAATTTTTATAGGTGTTTTATTAATAATTGCCCCAAACTGGAAGCAACTTAAATGTCCTTTACCTGGTAAATGAATAAACAAATGTGGTACAACAATACAATAGAATAATACTAGTCAGTAAATAGAAAGGAATGAATTACTGATCACATATATAACATGAGTGAATTTCATATGAGTTATGCTAAGTGAAAAAAGCCAGATTCAAAAGGTTACATACTGCACTTTGATTTGTATGACATTCTGGAAAAGGTAAAATTATAGGAACATTGTTGAGACTCAAAACTGTACCTTAAAGAGGATGAATTTTACTGTGTATACATTATGCCAAAAAAAAAATCTATGAAGCAGACAAGAATCTCTGAAAGCTCCTCAATTCTGAGTCCTTCTAAATGGTAATTTGGAAATACGAACCTCACTAAATTTGTAGGATTTAGCCTGAGTAAGATGTGGTTAGTTAGTGGAGGTTATCTGATAGTTGAAGCTAGCTATGGAATGGAGATAAGGGAAATATGATTCAAAGAAAATGTATGCATCATGTCCCAAGTGCTATAATCATTAATTTAACAATGTTCTCACTCAAAATAACCTGTTAATTAATTTAATCGCTCCAAAAACTGTAAGGGAAAATAGGAAACAAAAATAAAGTTGCTTTCTGATTATAACCTGCAACTTACAAGTCATACTTATTCAACTTAATGGTTACATTTAGCTTGATAACTTTTTTTTCATTAACACTTATGCTCATGACTTGTGGTATATGACTTTATATTGTATAAATTATGTAGTGATATTTTGCTATTATTTTACTATATTAGAGAATTTTAAATGTGTTATTTTATGCTATCTGCCAAACAGATTTGTGAGTTAACACTACTTCTTAGCTCAGGACTTGTATTTTACTAGAATAAATCAGATTGCTCCTGCGAACTCTTTCAGTTTACAAGAGTTTCTAAATTCTTAGTTTGGAACATTTAATAATTCTCTGTCCTGAAAGAGGTAATGTAGACTCCAAAGTTCTTCACTTCCCCTGGAATGATATCCAATGGTTTTAAGTGAGAATCTGATCTAACAGAGTTTGGAAATGTGGGTCCATGCCACCCACCTTCCCTGTTCTAAGTTTGTTTGGTGTATGCTGAGGTATAAGCACTTAGTTTACTTCAAATTAGGCCTAGATATGACAACTGCATTTAAGGTATGTGGGTTCATAATATAAGGTGGACAAAAGCATTCTACTGTGGTCTTTCTGATGCTTCCAATAATAAAGGATGGAATTCAAAGTGGACTTATGTAATGTTAGATTAGGTTTCATTGTATTATAACTGGTTTCTTTGTTTATTGTATATTATTCCAGAGTGACGTCTGCAGGCCTCTGCAGAGAAACACTAAATGACTAATACTGGTGCTTCAAGAGAAAGTCAAGACAGGGGAACCAAAAGGTAGTTGACCAAAGGTCTGATTATCAGACTGCTCCCAGTCCTCAACTTACTTTGATTGAATGGATGCCAGAGATTTTCTTAAGGTAGACTGAACATCTAACTGGAGCAGCATAGGAAGCGCTGGGTACCCACCCAGCTGGGCCCACAGTGAATGCATTGGTGTCTTCTCAGCTATTGGGTAGCTTGAAGTTGACTGATCAGCATTCCAGATGGCTTCCATCTGGTCTTCCTGTCTAGAGAGTCAGATAACACTAATTGGAAGCACCAAAATCTCCTGCACTCCATAGCCAAATAAAATACATGATTCTTATTTTCCCATCTTCTCTTCGCCACCACCACCCTGTCCTATAATACCTTCCCCCACACGGAGGAACATTAATTAGCCTTGCCCTCTTTGACTGAGGAAGGAATTAAACAGCAGAATTTGCTGAAATAGCTCTTCCCTACCCAAAAGCTGCATTTCCATGACTTTACCTAGTAATTCACTTTAAAACTGTCTTCTTAACTGCCTGGAGTATATGGACAATATCCAGGCTATTTTTTTTCCAGCAACAATCTTTTTCCCCTTTCTTCCCAAAGCTTTTACCTTCTTTTTTTTTTTTAAAGTAATACTTCTAAGTTTCTTCATTGTGTATTTGTTGCTTAGTAGGGAAGAATCAGCTTAATTTTTTAGAAGGAAATAAAAATCAGATGTTAAATATTTAAGTAGAAATATATATAAATAAGTCTCTTGCTAAATTATCTCAGGAAATTAATAATCCTGAGACTCTCCACTGTATCATATTATGATTGTGGGGAAGGGGTAGATCTTGTGCAGAAAAAAAAGCATTAGGTCCCACGTATCATCCAAAGAAAGTTGAATATCGGTCTTTCCTACCACATACCTCGATTTCTGAAATATCTCAGATTTTCTGTCTTTTTCTATTAGCAGCTCTAGGAATGGCTCTTGTTGAACAAATTTGGTAGGGGCAGGTGTTTGCTTTCTGTCAATGATCAAAGGTACAGGTTGACTAAGATTCAATTTATGCATCTCTTGGAGCTAAAAATAAATTAAAAAAAAAAAAAGAAGCAATGAAAAGAAAGGGCCAGAGTCTTTAAGAAGGTTTTCTGAGCTGCCCCTAGGTAAACTATTGCTCTTCTTTTATCATGGATTTGCAAATCCTCTTTCTCCTCAACCTCCACTTCACCTCCAAAAGTTTCAGAGCTGGCAGCTATGTTATATATAAACCTTGGTCCTGTGTAAACTCTGATCTTAGTCCTTGAATTTCCTAGCTGTGTGACTTTGAGCTAGTTGCTAATTTTACCTGCACCTTCTCCTCCTTATTTCCAAGATAAGGATCATAACACAGGCTTGTTGTGATAGTTGTGTAAGGTAAATATATGGAAGCACTTCATAAATTGTGAAGCACTATGCAAATGTAATGATAGCTAACATTTACTGAGTACTTACTGAATGTCAGATGCTTTCTATATAATAATTCATTTGGTATTTACAACAGCCTTATGAGATGGGTACTGTTATTATCCTTGTATTATATATGGGGATCTGGAACTTAGAAATTTAAGTGGCTTGTCCCAGCTCTCTTATTTAATATGTAGTGAAGCAGATTTGAACCCAGACAATCTGATAAGCAGAACCAACCTCTTTATCAACCACCCTGACTCAGTGTATTTATTTCATTTCTACTCTCTTCTCCCTTTTGCTTTTTCCTCTCCCTTCTTTACGCCTTGATGCCTACCTTATCATCTAGATTATGGGGCCTGGACCCCAGACCCATATTCATTCTCTGAAATGCCCTAGACATTGTGACTCCTGTTAGTCCATGGCATGCCAACTCACCTTGCTTTACACTTATATTAGCCATACTTTCCAAGCCAAAAGCTGTCAAAAATATTCATTTTGTCGAAGAGCTTTAATATTTACCTTCTGCCATGACAAAGTAACCACTTGAACTAAAGCCCACCTGTCAAAGAACTTTAATATTTAAAATGTAACTCTTCTGGAAAATTCACAATATGTCTCATTTGAATCAGGCTATAATGAGAAGTCTCTGTACCTTCTAAAGTAGCAAGTAAACTGTTCTTGTTAATTATTTTAGTGAAAGAAAGAGATATAAATAAAAAATGTTCCTAGACCTCCAAGACTATTCTAAAACTCCATGCTAAAACATGTAATGGGAGCATGTAATTCCAGAACAAAGAACTCTGATCTCACCTTTATAACTTTTTGGAAGGTCATCTCAGAGAGAGCTTTGGGACATAAGGAGCAGATTGTCAGAGTTGGACAGGATCATCTGTGCCTAGTGCTATATAAGCAAGTCAAGTAAATCCTTATCTCCTTTCTTGTAAACTCACCGTATTAAAACTTGCTTTGTGATAGTTGGGGGGAGAGAATTAACCACTGTGAATCAGTTGGAGAGTAGTGACTTCAAGAGGTTTTATATTTAGAGGCTGGTAGATGTGGGTTGACTACGAAGGAGTTGAGCATTTCTGGAAGTCTCTCTTATTCTAATCCTTTCTTATCTAGAGTCTCCAGACAGTATTCCTATCATCAATTCAGGAGTCTCACTGAAGTCACAGTGGAGTGGGTTGAATGGTGAAACCCCCAGAAGATATGTTCACCCAGAACCTAGAATATGACATCACTTAGAAAAAGGGTCTTTACAGATGTAACTAAGGATCTTAAGATGAGATCATTCTGGGTTAACCAGGTGGGTCCTAAATCCATGACACCATGACTTTGTAAAAGTTTGAAGTAAAGACAGACAAACTGGGAAAAAGGCATGGGAAAGATGAGTGCAGAGACTGGAGTTATGTAGCTACAAGCCAATAAGTGCCAAGGATTGTCCACAGACACCAGAATCTAGGAGAGAGACATAGAATACAGTAATTTCATCTCCCAGAGCCTCCAGAAGAAACCAACTCCATCTTGATTTCACACACTGGCCTCCAGAACTGTAAGAGGGTACATCTCTGTTGTTTTAAGCCATGGAGTTCATTGTGGCAGCCCTAGGAAACCAATATGCATAGTATCTCCAGATAAATGTTATTTTCAAAGCTTGCCTTTTTCATTTTTCTTACAACACACAGGGGAGAGGGAATATAAAACAGGTTACCTGGCCAAATAAGGATATTATTTTCCTCAGACACTGAGTCCGTTTCTGCTCTAGAGACTTCTGCTTCTTGGTCCAGGCCACCATCACCTTTTTCTGGTAGTCGTCAATTCTGCTCAGTATTAAGTAGAGGTTCTGGGTTTCATAACCTTTCCCACTGTTTTGGATGGCTTGTAATCGTTTGATTATGTTGTTTCTTGAAAAAAATTAACAAGAATTAGATAGATATAATTACTCACCATAATTCAACAAACCAGTCCTCATTACTTCAATTCTCATCTCATCCTTAGTGAGTAGAGATGGACAGAATAAGAGTGGGAGCCTTGCTTAATGAGACCTTAATCTAGTTCCATATATGACTAAACTTTCAAAGATCCATATGACTGTCAAATTTTCATTAACTTCACAGTTTATAATAGTGCTATTATTATTTTAATACATTCAAATTTTAATATTGACATATATGATATACAAAAATACATAATACAGTTTTTAAAAAGATATTACTTATTTTTTAGAAAGAACAGAAGGAAGGGAGAAAGAGGGAGAGAAACATTGATATGTGAGAAAAGTATTGATCAGTTGCTTCTCATAGGCCCCCAACCAGAAACCTGGCCCACAACTCAAGCATGTGCCCTCACTAGGAAGCAAACCAGTGACCTTTGGTTTCACAGGTTGGTGCTTAACATGCCTGGTGCCCACTGCCACCAACCAGGATGGCACATGATACAATTACTAAAAAAAAAAAAAAAAAAAAAAGGCGTCCTTGCCTTAAAGCACTTACAAGCCAGAATAGGAAACTAGTAAATTAACTATGTCAAAGAGAGAATTAAATAAATGCTAAATAGAAATGTAAACATGCTATTTGAACAAAAAGGAATGCACAGTTAATTCTGCTAAGAGGAACAAAAAAGACTTTATAGGAAGATGTTGAATAGGATCTTGAGGAATAATCCTAAAAGTGTACTCTCTCTCTTTACTATAATGTATGAAACCATGTTTGGATCTCCTACACAGAGTGTTTTACCATCCGCGTCCTGCAGGGGTGGAAGAAGAATCTGCATGATTAGAAATCATTAGAAATGATTTTCTAAAGTCACATAGTAAAAACAATGATAATAAAAATAAGGTCACACAATAAACAGCAAATTTGGGTAGCAAATCCAGATCTCCTTTCTCACAATACCAATATTTCTCAAAGTGTGGACTGAATCATTTGTGGGAATAAGGGGGTGTTGCTTGTTGAAAATACAGATTCCAAGGTGCTTCCCCAGATCTTCTTAATCAAAATCTTGGTGGTAGGCTTCAGGATCTGTATTTTAAACAAAATTTCAGGCAAATCTCCCTTTCTTTGGGAAGAAGGGGATGAGGAATTGCAGATTGAGGGAATACTATATACAAATGTAAGAGAATGAGAGTTATATTTTGGGAGTGGTAAGTAGTCTAGGACTTTTAGGCCATGGATATATGAAAGGATGTAGTTGGGAAGAAGATTGGAATGGCTGGATTATGAAAGGCCTTAAAAGGAATGTTACAGAGTTTAGATTTTGGGGGTGGGGGTTGGCAATGGGAACCTACTGAAGATATTTTTCTGAATATGTATTTTACATATATGTATACACATAGAGAAAATAACTCTTAGATCTCTTTTGTGGGTTATATAATTAATAGCTTAGAACCTACTGTATATATAGATAATTTAATACTTAAATGTGTCAACTTTCTGAATTAATTTAGTATATTTTAATTAATTTTCAATAGTCTTGGATTATTTCTATATCCTTTAGGTGATTTTTGTTTTTATTTTTTTCATTCTTACACAATTTTTTTAAAAGATTTTAGATGTAACCATCTTTATTACATGTGTTTTTAATCACTTCTCCACATGCATTACAGAATGCCTATCACATCCATTTCCATAAATAATGTTGTTCTCAATGAAGCAAGTGGGTAGCATTCTTATAACCATCTCTTATACTATTCAAAAATAGTTAATATTATTATACTTCATATTTTCTCTTCCATATAATGTTAGAATCTTCTTGACCTAGCTATCCTTGTAATGGAATCTTCAATCTATCATTATTTTGTTTCTATTATATGTTAGTGATTTGATTATAGTATTGAATATTAAAGAAGGGCTTTCTAAAGAAAGAATTGATCTTTGATGGGATTAAAGTTATAATTGTGTAAGTTGAGTGTTGTTTCAAAATGTCGATCTGTATGTTTCTATTTTAGATGATTTTACTAAAGCAGGTTAGAGCATATTACTTAGGTCTTCAAAATCTCCAATAAATCCAAACAAACTAATTGCCCTACAAAAATTGAGAAAGTTGTCTAAGAACTTTCCTCTAAAATTACCAAGCCTATATAATACCATAGGTGAAATCTTCCAAACCTTAAAAAGACAGCTAATTTTGTTATTAAACTCCCAACCATAGAAAAAGATGTTTTCTTTTTTAATGAAAGAAGCTTAAAATTATACCAAAAATTGACAAAGCACTAAAAGAAGTAAACCATCAAACTTGCTAATTAATATCAATGCAAAAATAAATAAAATATTAGAAAACAAATTCCCTAACACATTCACAGAAGGATGACAAATAGGATTTATTCCAGGAATACAATGATGATTTAATATAATTAATTATATTAATAGATCTGAGAAAAAAATAATATTTTCCTTAAAACACATGAAAATGACATGCTGAAATTACATTTAACAAAATGTGATTTAACACATTTAACAATTTAACATCCATCCTTGATTTTTATTTAACCCTCACCTGAGGACATGCTTATTAATTTTAGAGAGAGGGGAAGGGAGGGACAGAGACATCAATCAGTTGCCTCTCACATGCCCCCTGACTGGGGTCTGAACCCGCAATGTAGGCATGTGCCCTGACCCACAACCTTTTGGTTTACAGGACAATGCTGCAACCAACTGAGCCACACTGGCCAGGGCCAATTCTTGATTTTTAAAAACCATAATGAAATGGGAGCAGATGGATATTTTAATATGATAAAATATACTTAAACCCAAAAGCCAGTATTTTTCTTACAAATACTAGAAAGATATTCACTGTCACCACTGTCTTTTTAACCAATTTATTCTTAATTTTTAACAAGTAGCAGTGAAAGAAGGACTTATATTTTGGCCTCCTGAGCTACACAAGAGTGGAGAAAATAACAACAAAAAAGAAATTGACAAAGTTTAAGGACATTTTGCACCTTTTTCAGAAAGGAGAATATCAATGTAAATGTTCTGTTAAAAACATTTGAATATGAACTTTTCTTAGAAAAGAATTCCTGGGGAAAAAAAAGAATTCATGGGGGCCATAGAAAGGCATGCACAGCTGTTACTCAGGGCAGTCAAATGAATAAAGATGGTCTTGTATCCATATTACCAATATTTTTTAACAGAGTCCTGGAGGCACTAACCAATTCAGGAGAGAAATTACATGTTTAAAAATTGGAAACTCTATCACTTCTTGGCCTTTTGGCTAAGATCAAATGTAAAAATTGGAAACTCTAAATGTAAAAAATTATTATTGGTAGGTAATATGATTACATACCTGGAGAACTTAATATGAATTGAAAAACTTCACATGCTTGAATACAGTAAGATGGCTGCATACAAAATTGATAGAAATGGTCCAGTGGTAGTGGATCATCAGAACTCAACTAAAGTTAATGTCATTATACAAATAATTTTAACTTGCAATAGTAACAACAAAAATAAAAACTACCAGGATGTACACTTATGAAAGAATATACCAGAGCTATTTGAAAACTTTAAGATGCTCCTGAAGGACAGATACATACCCTGGACAAAAAGAAAGTTAAACCATATTCTTGGATAGGAAAACTGTTAGTGAAAATAAGCTAGATTTGCTTTTTTAACAAATAACCCCCAAATCTTAGCAGCTAAAAATAAAATGTACTTGCTGTTCATACTACAAATCCATCAGGGTTCAGCAAGGAGACCTTCATTGTACACTCTCAGGAACACAGGCTAACAAAACAGCCATACCCTAAACATTCTAGGTTATCATGCTAGAGGTAAAGGAAACTTTGGAGAGTCTCAAACAGGCAATGACAAGCTCAGCACAGAAATGACACACATCAGTTCTGCTCACATCCCATTGACGAGTACTGGCAAACACTGTAACAACCGCAACAAAGACGCCGTGTCATAAAAACCTAATAACCAACAGTGGAAGTACTAAAATAGACCAAGAAAGAATTTTTAAAATCAAAATTTTTTACAAAGCAAAACCCACCAAAAGTAGAGTTAGAACACAAAGAAGTAGGGGAAATTTGGCAATTTTTATCACAGATATGAGACTAATTTTCCAAATATTTAAGCAGACTCCCCAAATCAATTTTAGAATGCAAGTTGACAACCCAAGTGAAATATGGGCAAAATATTTTAACAGTATCTTCCCAGAAAAGAAAATACAGATGGCTCTTAAGTCTAGGAAAAGATATTTAACCGCATGCATAATAAAAATAACGACAGTTAAACCAGCAAAATGCTATATTTTATCTATTCTGTTGGCAATGAACAAAAACATTTGATAATGGTTCATGTTAGTCTTGATGTAAGAAAATACTATTTTATACCATTGACCAATATGTAAATTGTTACAACCTCTTTGGAAAGCAATTTGCTGAAGATCTATCACAATTATAAAACACCCTTTGGTCCAGAAATTCTACTTCTAGGAATATACATACATATATATGAGTGTGTACAAGATTGTTCATAGAACTATATTTTTATAATGCAAAATACTGAAAACATAAATATCAATCAGAGGTTAAGTAGAGTCTGGTAAATCCAGACTTTGAATACTATGTAGTTATAAAATGAATGAGTAGACTCTTTATATACTAATACCCAAGTTACCTAATACTCAATAGCTAAGTTATGAAAAAAATCATATGTTGTAACTTTAAAATATGTAAAAAGGGGGATAAATGAGCATACGTACTTTTCTACATATGCAGAAAATGTTTCTAAATGGACATACATCAGTAGCCCTGGGGTAGAGGCCTAAAGGCTGTAGATAGGACTATTAGGGAGACTTTTTCACTCTACCATTTGCATTTTTAGGATATTGCACCAGGTGAATGTAATACTTTTTTTTTTTATTTAAATGTAACAAAGGGTAAAAAGATGTAAGAGAACTGGAGAATGACCAGGAACATGTTATTTAAAATTCTCAAGTGGATAAAAGTGTTAAATTGTAAAAACAGATTGCAAAAACTAGGAATATTCCATTTAGAAAGAGAAAACTAAAGACAAGTATAAAGTAAAACATTTTCCAACAAATCTAAGATTATTTAAGCTTTGAAATTAAAATTTCTGATTATATCTTGGATAAGTATTTTTTTTTGCTCCTTATTGTTCCAATCCTTAGTTATAAAGTGAATTTTGTCCTCAAAAATGTAAATTTTGTGAGAACAAGGAACTTTGTTTTATTTCACTGCTATATGCCTAGCACCTAGAACAATGCTTGGTACACATTTATTACCATAAATATCTGTTGGATAAATAACATAGTTGTTCCTATAATTAATAACCTTTTCTATTATAGGTTTTAGTTTGACTTCTTGTGATTTAAACTTTAAAAATTTCCCCCAAATAATAGGTTGGCAACTTCAAAATACAAATGCTAAGGATGAACTTTCCCTGACCTATTTGGGATAATTTCAATTTCAATTTATTTTTTTTTAAGATTTTTTTTTTTTTAGAGAGAGGGGAAGGGGAGAAGAAAGGGAGGGAGAGAAACATCAATGCGTGGTTGTTTCTTGCATGTCCCAAACTGGGAACCTGACTTGCAACCCAGGCATGTGCCCTGACTGGGAACCAGTGTCCTTTCGGTGTACAGGACGACTCTCCAACCAACAGCCACATGGGCCAGGGATAATATTTGCAATTTTTAAAAATCAGGATGATGACCTGTTTTAGGTCACTCCAGCAGTCAAGTTGCCATGGCGATGCCTTGTACATAACCTGCCATCTTCCATTTTAAAAATTAATATATCTTTTGGTGAGCTCAAGCTGATGTAAGAAATTGAAAATAACTGGAAGCATCTCTAAACTTTTGAAGTTGGTATTTTGGAGATCAGTCATGATCCACAAAATTTATCTTAGCATTTCTGCTAGGGATATGTATAAATGAAATTGTTATATACTACTTATTTTCTTAAAAATATCTCCTTTTGCTAACTTAATTAGGCTTCCATCCCATAGACCTTCCATAAGAGAATGTTTAGAACACCCAATCTGACAAATATGTAAATACTTACAGGGAATTGAGGAAGGATATTTGAGATCAGGACTAAACCAGAAATCTGGAAATATAATGGTTATATCTACCTTGCACGCTGGATCAGCCTATAGGCAATGTACTTGTGGAATAGGTATCCCAGCCGAACAGTGTCTGTATGAAATGTCTCAATTATGAGGTTCCTAGCAGTTGTGTGTAGCTCTGAAGGAAGTCCAGAAGTTTTTGTAGCCTGATTTAAGAGTATTAGGTTCTTCCTTTGAGCCTCCACATCAACAAAATACCTCTGCTCTTTGAGCTCTTGGGGAGAGGAAGGAGGTACCATCATCCTGGGTTTCTTGGAACCTGAAACTGAAGTCATTATGCAGGGCTTGTTTATAGGGGGGAATCGGGATTTCCAGTCCCATTCAGCATTCGAAATCTGTGATGTTTTGAATAGTTGAGTAGTAAGAGAAGGTAGTGATGTTATAGGCTTCCTGAGAGTTGGAAGGTATCCCTCATCAATGGAAGGGGTTTGTAATCTTGGTGTCCTATACTTGGTGAGATAGGACTGAAATGTCAGAAATTGTTCCATAGCAAAAGGATCATGGAGTCTCTGGATTTCTTCAGAAGTATCAGAGACCTCTGATATTTGTAACTTCTTAGTGGTGAAAGGGGCTTGAGGTACTTTGAAATTTGGAGCACTGGGATGGACCAATGCTGATTTGGACTTCAAAGAAGAAACAATTGCCAATCCTTCCTGACTTTTCTTAGAGACAGAAGAGGACAAACCTTTCTGGGTCTTTCCAGGGATTGAGGGCGCCCGTAGTGTTGGATGATGCCTAGGGGTGGGAGAGATCCATAGTGGGGAGGCTTGTCTAGGAAAGGTCCATGGTGCCAGATGCTGCCCAAGTGTAGAAGGGGCTTGTAGATAGGGAGATTGCTCACAGGTAGCAGGGAGCTGAAATGTCTGGTGCTGCTCAGAGAGGGTTAAGGGTCCAGATTCCATGAGCTCCCCAGGGGTAGAAGAGGCCCCAGGTACCAAGGGCTTCCCAGGAGCAAGAGGGGCCCAGAGACTGGGAATCTGTGAGGAGGTGGGTGGAACCCCAGATATAAGGGGCTGTCCAGGGGCAAGAAGTGATTGGGGAGTCAGAGAGTCCTTAGTTCTGTGGAACTGCCTAGAGCTAAGAAGGGAATCCAGTGTAAGGGGCTGTTCTGGAGTTGGAGGGGCCCCTGATATTGGGAGCTTCCCAGGGGTGGGAGTGACCTCTGGTGGTAGGATCTGCACAGAGGTGGACTGACCCTTACAGACCAGTGCCTGTCCAGAGGAGGGGAAAGTATGTGGCGACAGGCGCTTCCTGGGGTCAGAAGGAATCCCCTTTCCTAGGGATTTCTCAGGGACCAAAGGGACTTGGGTAAGAGGAGACTTTGATATCTGCAAAGGAGTAGAAGAGACCTCAAATATAGACGGCTTCCCAGCAATAGATGATGGTGCCAGGGACTGCCTAGGTTTTGATGGAGTGGGGTGCCCAGAGGAGAGAGAAGTCTTTGATTTTTGAAATGGTTTAAGAGTGGAAGGAGCCATCATGGGGAATTGCTTAGGAATGTGGGGAGCACTTGGTTTGATGGATTTATCAGTAACAGAAAAGGTCCCCACCTCCAAGGTATGTCCTGAAGAAGGACCAGTCCAATGTTGTGAATGCTGCTCATTAGTGGGAGGAGCTCTTGATTTTAGGTCCTGCTTAGACATATGAGTAATACCCACAGGCTGGGCCTGTCCTGGGGTGTAGGGGGCTCCCCAAAGTTGGACTTGCTTAGGGGTAAGGGAATATCTTAAAACATGGGCTTTATCTGAGGTGAGAGGGGCCCCCAAAGACCTCTTCTGTTCAGGGCTAAGAGTGACAGCTGACACACAGACATCTTGGGGCATAACAGGAACTCCCAATGCCTGGGCCTGATTCAGAGTGAAAGGAGTGCCGAATGACTGAGCCTGTTCATGGGAGGGAGTGACCCCCAGTGCTTGGTTCTGCTTATGAGAGAGAGTGTTGGATAATTCCTGAACCATTTCTGGAGTAATAGAGACCCCTGATATCCAGGCCTGTTCTGCGGTAAGAGAGGTCTCTAATGCCTGAGCCTGGTCAGGGGTAGGTGGCACCCCCAATGCTTGTTCCTGCTCGTGTGTGAGGGTGATACCCACTTCCTGGGCTTGTTCATGGGTATGTGTGATACCCCAAATCTGTGCTTTCTCAGGAGTAAGAGTGTACAGCAGTGCCTGTGCCTCTTCTGGAAGAAGGTCCTGCAGTGCTTCTATCTGCTGTGGTGTGATACTGATTCTCAATGCCTCATCCAGTGCGTGAGTGGGAGGGACACCAAATATCTGGGCCTGTTGAGTAGTTATAGGGATCTGCATTGCCTGGCTCTGTTCCACATTGGCAGATTCCTTTAGTGTCTGGCCCTGGTTAGGGGTGATAGGGGCCCTTGATGTCCAGCCTTGTTGGAGAATGAGAGGAACCCTCAATTCTTGGGCTCGTTCATGTGTGCGTGCGAATCCCAAACCCTGGGACTTTTCAGGTGTGAGGGTAACCTCCAATGCCTTGAATTGCTCAGGGGTAAGAGTGATGCTCTGGGCCTGCTGTGGGGTGAGAGGAATTCCCTGTGCCTGGGTCTGTTGAGGGGTCAGAGTGATGCCCAGTGCCCGGGCCTGATCAGGAGTGACAGTGACCCCAAGTGCCTGGGCCTCTTCAGGGGTGACAGTGACCCCAAGTTTCTGGGCCTGCTGAGGGGTGAGAGTGATTCCAAGTGCCTGGGCCTGGTCAGGGGTGAGAGTAACCCCAAGTGCCTGGGCCTGGTCAGGGGTGAGAGTAACCCCAAGTTCCTGGGCCTGTTCAGGGGTGACAGCGACCCCAAGTGCCTGGGCCTGTTCAGGAGTGACAGTGACCCCAAGTGCTTGGGCCTGCTGAGGGGTGAGAGTGACTCTTAGTGCCTGGGCCTGGTCAGGGGTGACAGTGACCCCAAGTGCCTGGGCCTGCTGAGGGGTGACAGTGACCCCAAGTGCCTGGGCCTGGTCAGGGGTGACAGCAACCCCAAATGCCTGGGCCTGTTCAGGAGTGACAGTGACCCCAAGTGCTTGGGCCTGCTGAGGGGTAAGAGTGACCCCAAATGCCTGGGCCTGTTCAGGAGTGACAGTGACCCCAAGTGCTTGGGCCTGCTGAGGGGTAAGAGTGACCCCAAGTCCCTGGGCCTGGTCAGGGGTGACAGTGATTCCAAGTGCCTGGGCCTGCTGAGGGGTGAGAGTGACTCTTAGTGCCTGGGCCTGGTCAGGGGTGACAGTGACCCCAAGTGCCTGGGCCTGCTGAGGGGTGAGAGTGACCCCAAGTCCCTGGGCCTGTTCAGGGGTGACAGTGACCCCAAGTGCCTGGGCCTGGTCAGGGGTGAGAGTGACCCCAAGTGCCTGGGTCTGCTGAGGGGTAAGAGTGACCCCAAGTGCCTGGGCCTGTTCAGGGGTGACAGCAACCCCAAGTGCCTGGGCCTGCTGAGGGGTGAGAGTGACCCCAAGTGCCTGGGCCTGTTCAGGGGTGACAGCAACCCCAAGTGCCTGGGCCTGCTGAGGGGTGAGAGTGACCCCAAGTGCCTGGGCCTGCTGAGGGGTGAGAGTGACCCCAAGTCCCTGGGCCTGCTGAGAGGTGACAGTAACCCCAAGTGCCTGGGCCTGCTGAGGGGTAAGAGTGACCCCAAGTGCCTGGGCCTGGTCAGGGGTGACAGTGACCCCAAGTGCCTGGGCCTGCTGAGGGGTGAGAGTGACCCCAAGTGCCTGGGCCTGCTGAGGGGTGAGAGTGACCCCAAGTCCCTGGGCCTGCTGAGAGGTGACAGTAACCCCAAGTGCCTGGGCCTGCTGAGGAGTAAGAGTGACCCCAAGTGCCTGGGCCTGGTCAGGGGTGACAGTGACCCCAAGTGCCTGGGCCTGCTGAGGGGTGACAGTGACCCCAAGTGCCTGGGCCTGTTCAGGGGTGACAGCGACCCCAAGTGCCTGGGCCTGCTGAGGGGTAAGAGTGACCCCAAGTGCCTGGGCCTGCTGAGGGGTGAGAGTGACCCCAAGTGCCTGGGCCTGCTGAGGGGTAAGAGTGACCCCAAGTGCCTGGGCCTGCTGAGGGGTGAGAGTGACCCCTAGTGCCTGGGCCTGGTCAGGGGTGACAGTGACCCCAAGTTCCTTGGCCTGCTGAGGGGTGAGAGTGACTCTTAGTGCCTGGCCCTGTTCAGGAGTGACAGTGACTCCAAGTTCCTGGGCCTGCTGAGGGGTAAGAGTGACCCCAAGTGCCTGGGCCTGGTCAGGGGTGACAGTGACCCCAAGTTCCTTGGCCTGCTGAGGGGTGACAGTGACTCTTAGTGCCTGGGCCTGTTCAGGAGTGACAGTGACTCCAAGTTCCTGGGCCTGCTGAGGGGTAAGAGTGACCCCAAGTGCCTGGGCCTGCTGAGGGGTGAGAGTGACCCCAAGTGCCTGGGCCTGCTGAGGGGTAAGAGTGACCCCAAGTGCCTGGGCCTGCTGAGGGGTGAGAGTGACCCCTAGTGCCTGGGCCTGGTCAGGGGTGACAGTGACCCCAAGTTCCTTGGCCTGCTGAGGGGTGAGAGTGACTCTTAGTGCCTGGCCCTGTTCAGGGGTGACAGCGACCCCAAGTGCCTGGGCCTGCTGAGGGGTAAGAGTGACCCCAAGTGCCTGGGCCTGGTCAGGGGTGACAGTGACCCCAAGTTCCTTGGCCTGCTGAGGGGTGAGAGTGACTCTTAGTGCCTGGGCCTGTTCAGGAGTGACAGTGACTCCAAGTTCCTGGGCCTGCTGAGGGGTAAGAGTGACCCCAAGTGCCTGGGCCTGGTCAGGGGTGACAGTGACCCCAAGTTCCTTGGCCTGCTGAGGGGTGAGAGTGACTCTTAGTGCCTGGGCCTGTTCAGGAGTGACAGTGACCCCAAGTTCCTGGGCCTGCTGAGGGGTGAGAGTGACCCCAAGTGCCTGGGCCTGGTCAGGGGTGACAGTAACCCCAAGTGCCTGGGCCTGTTTAGGAGTGGCAGTGGCCCCAAGTTCCTGGGCCTGCTGAGGGATGACAGTGACCCCAAGTGCCTGGGCCTGTTCAGGCATGAAGGTGACCTCAAGTCCCTGGGCCTGCGGACGGGTGAGACTGAGCCTCTGGGCCTGGACCTGCTTGGGAGTGAAAGTGATTTCCTGTGTCTGGGCGCACTGAGGGGCAAGAATGACCTCATGTGCTTGGCCCTGTTCTTGGGTAATAGGTACCCCCCAAATCTGTGCCTGTTCTGCCGTTAGTGGGATGTGCTTTGCCTGGGCTTGTTCCAGTGTGAGAGATGTCTTTAGTGACTGGTTTTGCTCAGGGGTCATAGGGGTCCTCAATGCCTGGTCTTGTTGCTGCATAAGAAAGGCCTCTGGTACTTGTGGCTTCTGAAGTTTGAAAGGGATTTTCAATTTGGGGATTTGTTCAAAAGTGAGAGGAGTCCTCAATGCCTGTGTCTGCTCAGGTGGATAAGTTACTCCCAAACCCTGAGACATCTTCAGAGTAGGAGTACTCCCCAGTGCCTGAATCTTCTGAGAGGGGCGAGTGATTCCCAGTGCTGAGGCCTCCTCATGAATGACGGCAATGGACTTTGTGGGAGACTTTCCAGGAATAGAAAAGGGCTCAGGTGAGGAAGACTGTGTGGAGGTAGGAGGAATGATTGGCATGGAGTGCTCTTCATCAGCAAGAGTCTCTAGTGTCTTAAGATTCACATGGGGCTCTTTTCTTTTGTGTAACTGATGTGCCTCTTTCCACATGTTCTTCCACCTGGGAGCCAATGTCACTGAAGTGTGGCCTAATATCTTTCCAAGTTCTTCAGTGTTTTCCTCCTTAATCTTCATCCGCTCCTTTGCTTTTTTCTGCCACTTACTTTCATGTTCCTCTACCTTTCTAATTGACTTCTGCTTTTCTTCTTCCTCCTCCCAACTACTTTCCTGCTTCAGATGTTTGACTTCTTTCTGAACCTGCCCTATCCGCTGTATCTTCTTCTCCAAGGGTATTCCTTGCCCTTTGATTTTTTGCCTCCATACTTCCAGCTGCTGCTTTTGCTTCTGCTCCTCTTTCTGTTCTTCCATTTGCTTTCGCTTCTCATCTTGCTCAATCTGCTTTTGCATCCTCTGTCTTTGCTGTTCCTTCCACACTTCCTCCTGCTCCTGCTCCTGCTCTTGCTTTCTCTCCTTCATCTGGAGCTGTGCCTTTTCCATATCCAAATTCTTCCTTATCATCTCATAGCTTGTCTTCCAGAGATTCCTTTCTTCTGGCAACTGGTGTTTAAGATCAATATCCAAACTTTTTCCTTGAACCTCTTGCAGAAACTCCTCCTGTCTTTGTTTTTCCTTCTCCTCAGGCTCTGTCCCTGCTACTGAGGCTACAGGAGCACCTCTTTCACTTTCTATTTCTGTCAAGATTGTTTGTATCACACTGTGAGTGACTGGGTCCATGCTCACAGATGACAATAAGGAGCTGATTTCAGGCATTGCACTAATTGGCTTCTGAGAATGCAATCCTGGCGTAAATAAGACTGTCTTTTTTCGCTTCATAGGTTTCTTTCCAACTTGTCCTGCATTTTTTATGTCTTTATATTTTCTCAAGATTTTTGTCACAGTTTCAGCCACATTTTGAAAATATTCCTCCATTTTTGCCTTTATAATTCCTAATTTTTCCACTTCTGCATTTTTTAGCATTTTTTCTTCTGGCACAGTCTTTTTATCCAAAGGCTTTCCTGTGTTATCAATTTTCTCTTTTAAGAAAGCCATTATGGCTTTATGAAATTCTTCTAGATTACTCTGTTCAATTTTGCCATCTGAACTTTCTGGAACTTTAGTAGATCCTGAAGTCTCTTTAGTTACGCTAAATTGTGATTTAACAAGTTCATGAGACTTGAGCTTCTTGGCGAAAAGTGACATGTCCTTCTCTGCAGTGTTTCCTTCTTCGCTTGTGGTAGTTCCTGGAGAGATTTGATGTTTTTTTCCTTTTCTTTTTACTTTCTCAAAGGGATGATCAAGTTGGATAGCACTGTATGGCTGTGCTTGGCTACTCATATCACTTTTGCTTACTTTGTCCATTGACCCAGTGTCAGGCTTCTCTTGAATCTCTGAAGAAATCCGGTTTTTCTCAAGTATATGTTCAAGTTTCATATTCCTGAGTCGGTCCCATACATTAGGTGTACTTTTGCCACCTTGGCTCTTTGTGTCAGTAGAAGGGAAATCAGCAGGAACATGTCGAATTTTTGATTCAGTGGATGACTTTGATTTGGCTTCAGAAAGGAATTTTATTTCTTTACTCTTCTTTCCCAGTGCTGGTAGCTCAAAGTGGTGATCAACTTTGGTCTCTGAGACTATCTGTTTACCTTTATCATCACTCAGATTAGATCCAGAGGTCTCCTGCACATATGGGCTTTTTGAGCTTGCTCTTTTCTTTGGTTGATACTGAACAGTCCCACCTTTCTTATCGACATCACCTTTCTTCAGTGATATCTTGTCTTTAGTGATATCTTCAGTAGGTGTTTTCTCTGCTTTCTCAGGTAGAAGGGATTGCTGTTCAATTAAATCTGGAGTCCTTTCATCTTGGGCTGTATATAAAACACCTGAGTCCCACTTGATCCCTGAGGCTTTGGTACCCTTGCTTTGGGCCTCATCCATACTATATTCAAATTCTTTGGCTAAAATACTATCTATACTGTCTTCTTTATCAGCCTTGCTACTGACCATGGATGATGGTGGAGAAAGCTCAGATGATACTTTCAAGGGTGATGTGAGTGATCCTGTTGATACTTTGGACTGAATAAGGCGTTCACATTTTTCTTCTGCATCTTGAAGTTTCTGCTGAAGCATTTCATTTTCTTCACTGAGATCTTGTATTATCTTTAGGGAGATCTCTTTTTCTCCTCCACTTATCTCACTTATATACATATTGGCATTTTGGAAGTTAATTTTTAATTCATCCTTTAGTGAACTCAATGCTATAGAAAGGTTTTTTATGGTTGATGATATATATTTAATAGCATTGTTTTCCAATTTATTGAACATTGCAGTTTTTACGAGTTCCTGTAGCATACCTTGGATTTCTGAAACCTTTGTATTTGTTGCAAAGTCATCACTAATCATCTGATCTGGTCTTAAGGCATGGGCTGTTGCAGGTCGCTTTATAACTCTTTCTTTCCAAGATTTCCATAGAGTACCTCTGGTCACTAGAAGAAAAAAAACCCATAAAACACAAAATGATAAGATTGCATTTCTTCTTCTGTGTTGTGTTCTATCTATGTTTAAGCCTAAAGAAGTTAGCATAAATTAACAGATACCTAAAGGAATTAAGTTTACTTTGTAAATTAACAGATAGCTAAAGGAAGCAAATTATTATTATTCGATGATAATTATTAATCAAATACAGCATATCAATAGAGAGAGAAATTAGAAAAACCAAGTGGAATAAATGGAGCTGAATAGTATAATAACTAAAGTAAAAAATTTGCCATAAGTGTTCAACAGTAGATTTGAACTAACAGAAGAAAATAACCAGCAAACTTGTTATTAGATTGGTAGAAATTATCTAATTGAAGAACAGGGAGAAGAAAGAATAAAGAAAAATGAACAAAGCTTCAGACACTTGTGGAACACCATTAAGCATACCAATAATAATAAGAAGGCCCAGAAAAAGAGAGACAGACATTTAAAGTAATTGAAGAAATAATGGCTAAATCATCCCAAATTTGATAAGAAAACAAAAAACAAAAACAAAACATTAATTTACACATTCAAAAAATTCAGCAAATTCTAACTGTTACAAATACAAAATAATCCATATGTCAACAAATTATTGTCATACCATTGAAAGCCAAAGAGAGGATCGTTAAAGAAAAAAAAAGTGACATCACAATTGAAAGAGACTCATCAGGTACAGGGGGAATCACAGCTCACTCTTTATCAGAAACAATAGAGGTCAGAAGGCAGTGGGGTGATATATTCAAAGTGTTGAAAGAATTATACTTTGAAGATATACAAGAATTCTATATCCAGCAAATCTATTAAAAAAGTAAAGGTAAGACATCCATTCCCTGAAATAACCTTCTTCTCAAAGTTGCATGTGTTAATAACTTTTTAAAATATATTTTATTGATTATGCCATTACAGCTGTCATGCTTCATACCCCTTCATACCCCTTCACCTTGCACATCCTTTTCCCCCACATTCCCCGCCTTTAGTTCATGTCCCTGGGTCACAAATTCTTTAGTTTCTACATTTCCCATACTGTTCTTGTCCTCCCCCTATTTTCTACCTACCATCTATGCTACTTATTTTCTGTACCTTTCCCCCCACCACCACCACTCCCCTGTTGCTAACCCTCCATGTGATTTCCATTTCTATAGTTCTGCTCCTGATCTAGCTGTCCTCTTAGTTTGCTTTTGTTTCAGGTGCGCTTGTTTGCTGTCCTTTCACTGTTCATATTTTGTATCTTCTTTTTCTTAGATAAGTCCCTTTAACATTTCATATAATAAGGGCTTGGTGATGATGAACTCCTTGAATTTGATCTTATCTGAGAAGCACTTTATCTGCCCTTCCATTCTAAATGAAAGCTTTGCTGGATAGAGCAATCTTGGTTGTAGGTCTTTGGATTTCATGACTTGGAATACTTCTTTCCAGCCCCTTCTTGCCTGTAAGGTCTCTTTTGAGAAATCGGCCAACAGTCTTATGGGAACTCCTTTGTAGGTGACTGTTCCCTTATCTCTTGCTGCTTCTAGAATTCTCTTCTTCATTTTAACCTTGGCTAATGCAATTATGATGTGCCTTGGTGTGTTCCTTCTTGGGTCCACCTTCTTTGGGACTCTCTGAGCTTCCTGGATTTCCTGGAAGTCTATTTCCTTTGCCAGATTGGGGAAGTTCTCCTTTATTATTTATTCAAATAAGTTTTCCACTTGTTGTTCTTCCTTTTTTTCTAATAACTCTTATAACCATCTTTATTATATGTGTTTTAAAACACTTCTCTAAATGCACTATGGAATGTCTATAATATCCATTCCCTGAAATAATACTCTTTTCAAAGTAGCATGTATCTACAACTCATAAAAAAGATAAAAAATGAGATATATAGAGGGCAAGTAAGCATATGAAAAGATGCTCAATATCATATTATTAGGGAATTGCAAATTACAATGAGATACTGTTGTATACCTATTAAAATAGCTGCAACCCAAAACTGATAATACCAGATGTTGACAAGGACAGGGAGCAAAAGGAACTGTTTCTTATTACCAGTGGGAAATAAAAAATGGTACAGCTACTTGGGAAGACAGTTTGGAAGTTTTTTTACAAAGTTACTTAACATAGTAATGTAGTCTTATAGGATGCAGCAATCATTTGCCTAGGTATTTACCCAATTAATTTGAAAACTTATGTCAATACACACAAAAAACTTACATGAACATGTTTATAACAACTTTATTCTTAAACATGAAACTCTAGAAGCAACCAAGATGTCCTTCAATAGGTGGTTAAACAAACTGTGGTACATCTATACAGTGGAACATTATTCAGCAATAAAAAGAAATATGTCATTAAGCCACAGAAACATATGGAGGAACCTTAAATGTGTATTGCTAAGTAATAGAAACCGGTATGAAAAAGCTCCATACTACATAATTCCAATTATATGATATTTTTGAAAAACATTAAAGAACAGTGGTTACCAAGGGCTTGGAGAGAGAAGGGAAAGATGAATAGGTCAAAACAGGTTTTTAGGATGGAGGAACCATTCTGTATACTGTAATGATGGGTGCGTGACCACATACATTTATCAAACCCCATAGAACTCTACAGCACAAACAGTGAAACAATGTATCTAAACTTTAAAAAATAACTGTTCGGGAGGTTAGGGAATCCCAGGAAATAGTATAGACTATGATAAGAGAATCTAATTGTATTAGAAATGTGTAATACAACCTTACTGAAAGGGATGGAGGGAAAGGTGGTGTCCTAAACAACTGGAAATGAATGGAGCCTGTATGTCTGAAGGCAAAAAGAACTGTGCATAGGTACTATACTCTAGTTGATAAGTTGTTTCCCTTGGGGGTATGGGTTAATAATCTGGTACTGCTATACCTATATACTGGAATTCAACAATTAAGTAAATGGATGGCCTATGGTAGGAGCAGGTTTCTCATTGTTAGGGGACTTACAGGTAAGCAAGGGTAGGGAGCTACAACGATCTAGATGATAATAGATTAAAGTTAGAGACATCAGAAAGAACTCATGTTTAGCTTAATGCAGTTATAGGAGACTATATAGGTAAATATTCACAGATTAGTGTATGAGGTCTGTCTGCAAAAGTACAACTGTTGTTAATATAATGAGTTGCATGCCATCAATGTAACCTGGCTGCCAAGGAGAGTGGACTGGAATGTACATACGTGAACAATGACGACCTCACTGTACTAGTCAGTGGGGGTGGTAGATGCTGTTGAGTGAGCATGTGTATCCTGTAGTGGTCACGTTCAAAATGACTGAGCAAGTAGAGCTACAAATCTGCATCAAATTTTGCATTAAAATTGAACATTCCTCCACTGAAACTATTCGGATAATTCAAGAAGGCCACAGCTGTGGGCAATTGGTGATTGGCAGCTTTATCATGACAGTGTGCCCACTCATGCATCACATCTCATGCAGAGCTTTTTGGCAAAACATGGAATCACCCAGGTGACTCAGGCTCCCTACAGCCCATATTTGGTGCCCTGTGACTTCTGGCTTTTCCCAAAACTAAAATCACCTTTGAAAAGGAAGAGATTTCAGACCATCAGTGAGATTCAGGAAAATACAGATGGTGATGATGATCGGGAGAACTGTGTGAGGTCCTAAAGACCTATTTTGAAGAGGACTTAGGTGTCACTGTCCTGTGTATAATTTTTTATATCTTGTATCTTCTTCAATAAATGTCTGCATTTTTCATATTACATGGCTGTATACCTTTAAACAGACCTCGTATATTCATGGCTTTGTACACACACATTTTTGTTTTTGTTTTTGTCTTGCTGTCAGATGAGAGGGCTAAACCAAATGACACCCCAGTATCAATGAGCACATCAAGCAGCCAAAGCTTGGTTTTTAGTAATACTATCCTCTAATAAAAGGAAACAGAACTTTTAGAAAAATAGAAAATTCTAAGGTTGAGATAGGAAGTATTCAAGATGAACCTGAATTATCTTGTAGTGACAGAAAAATACTAAAAGAAGATAAAAAAAACAAATTATATTCATGGGAGTATGTCAAAGGGGCGTGGGAACCAACTGAAAGCTGTCCTGATAGCCAAAGCTGGAATAACTTGAACAAGAAATGAAGTAGTATTGAATTATACCCCAAAATATAAATATCTGTGAGGTCATTTTGATAGAAGTTGAAATTTTTAAAAAAATAATAAATAGGTACAAGAGACAAATTCTTGTGCATAAGAACTTCAAATAATAAATGTAAATATCGCACCCTAAAGGAGTGGGCTGCATACATAAACTTCCTTTTAAAGAGTATAGTATGGAAAATGAGAAAAAAGAGTAAGTTTACGGTGGAGAAACCTGAAAAGCACTACTTTAGCCAGGTGATCAATGTCAACATTAGGTCACAAATCGCTTGATAATATGTACTCTTGAAATAATATGGTGACAATGGTACTTTACCTCTGTGATTTTTCTCCTCCAAACCCATACCACAGGATAAACATGAAAATAATCACACAAATTCCAATAAAGGTGCATCTAACAATATACCTAACCAGTACTCCTCAAAACTGTCAGGCCCTGGCTGGACAGTTTTGAGGAGTTAAATGTGGCCGAGTTGGTTGGAGCATCATCCAGTAAAACAAGAGGTCATGGGTTCAATTCCTGGTCAGAGCACATGCTTAAGTTGCAGATTCAGTCCCCATTAGGGGACCAAAGACAACTGATTGATTTTTTTCTGTCTTGCACTGAGTTTCTCCCTCCCTCTCTCTCCCCCCACCCCACCTCTCTGAAATCAATAAGCATGTCCTCAAGTGAGGATTTGAAAAAAAAAATTGTCAGGGACATAAAACACAAAGAAAAATCTGAAACACTGTCACATCCAAGAAAGCCAAAAAAGACATAATAGCTAAATGTAGTCAGGTACCTTATGTACCTGAAACAGGATCCTGAAACAGGAAAAGGACATTAGGTAAAAATAAGGAATTATAAATAAATTATGGACTTTAGTGAATAATGTGCAATATTGATTTATTAATTATAACATGTGTATCATATCAATCTATTAATAACAGTAAAAACTATGGGGAGGTTTGTAGAACTCTGTGTTATTTTCTCAATTTTTTTCTAAATCTAAAACTGCCTTGGCCCTGGATGAGTAGCTGAGTTAGTCTGAGCATCATCCCAATACACCAAGGTTGCAAGTTTGAACTTCCTGATACATATATCAGTTCATCAGGAAGCTATCACAATGATAAACATATATGTACCTAACAACAGAGGCTTAAAATACAGGAAGCAAAAACTGACAGAATTAGAGATACAAACAACTCAACAATAGTAGTTGGAGAGTTCAATATCCCACTCAATAACATAGAATGATTAGGCCAAAAACCAATAAGGATGTTTATAGAAGACTAGAAGAATAGTATAAACCAACTGTAGAATATTCCACCCAACAATAGCAGAGTATATATTTTCAAACACACAAGAAACACTTTTTAAATCCTCACCCAAGGACATGCTTATTGATTTTAGAGAAAAGAGAAGGAAAGGAGAGAGAGGGAGAGAAACATCAATTGCTTACCTCTTGCGTGAATCCTGACTGGGGACAGAACCTACAGCCCAGGCATGTACCCTGACCAGGAACTGAATCCACATCCTCTCCATTTATGGGATGATACTCCCTCTAACTGAGCCACATTGACCAGGGCAAGAATTTTTTTTAAAAAATAGACTACATGCTAGGCTATAAAACAAGTTCTAATAAATTTAAAAGGATTGAATAGTACAAAGTATGTTCCCCAGTTGCAATGAGATAGGTAGATGATAGATAGATAGATAGATAGATAGATAGATAGATAGATAGATAGTCTACTGATTCTGTTCTCTGGTTGAACCCTGACTGATATAACTTAATACAACACTAAAACAATGACAGAACTTAAAATTTTTTGAGAGAGAGAGCAAAATATCAGTTTGTTATTCCACCCATCTATGTATTCATTGGTTGATTCTTATCTGTCCCCGGAGCAGGGATTGAACCTGCAACTTTGGCATGTCAGGATGACACTCTAACCAACTGAGCTACTTGGCCAAGACTATGATAAAACTTTTATAAAAGAAAAATGATAAATTGATTGGGCTTTATAAAACTTAAACACTTTGGGGCTTAAAAGTCACCATTAAGAAAATGAAAACACAAAAGAAAAAAGCCCTGGCTAGACTGGCTCAGTGGACTGAGTGCCAGCCTGTGAACTGAAAGGTTACTGGTTCAATTCCCAGTCAGGACACATGCCTGGGTTGCTGGCCAGATCCCCAGCAACCCAGGCATGTGTCCTGGGGGCGTGCAAGAGGCAACTGATCGATGTATCTCTTAAACATCAATGTTCCTCTTCCTCTCTTGTTTCCTCCCTTCCCCTCTCTCTAAAAATAAATAAATAAAATCTTATTAAAAATTAAAAGAAAAGGAAAAGACAAGCCACAGTTTGGGATAAAATATTTGCAAATCACTTTATCTAGAATAGATAAAGAACTCTTAAAATTCAGTAACAAAAGTGAGTAAATATTTGAATAAATACTTCATCAGAGAAGATATGGGAAAGGCTAATCAGCATATGAAAGGGTGCTTAACATCATTAGTCATTAGAAAAATGCAAATTAAAACCACAGTGAGATGCCATTTTACATCTATTAAAAATGCTATCATAAAAAAGATACTAACAAGTGTTGTTGAGGATGTTGAAAAACTGGAACCCAAATACATCACTGATGGGAATGTAAAAGGGTGCTGTCAGTTGGGAAATCAGTTAACAATTTGTTAAAAAAATTAAACATAGGTTTACCAGCAATAGGTAAATGGCCTAGCAATTTTACTCCTAGGTATCTACTCAAATGAAAACCTATGTCCAAACAAAAATTTATACATGTTGTTCATAGCAGCATTATTCATAAGAGCTAAAAATTGGAAACAATACAAATGTCCATGAAATGGTAAGTGGGTAAACAAAGTGGTATATGCAAATACCAGTATTCAGTTGGAAGAGAGAAATGACCAATACATCCTACAACATGGCTGAACCTCAAAAGTATTATGCAAAATAAAAGAAACCAGACCTAAAAGACCACATATAATTCCATTTTATGAAGTGTCCAGAAAAGGCAAAATTACCTGAGACATAAAACAGATTAGTAGCAACTGGCGAAGCAGGGTTGTGCAGGAAAGATCGACTGGACTGACCCAGGCGCTCAGGCAGCAGTTGGCAGATCCCAGGCATGAGGGTGCAAGGCAGCAGGCTGACCATTGTCACACATTCGAGTGCGGATAAACCAGTGAAGGAGCAATCATTGAGACAGACCACACAGGCCCCAGTAGTGGAAAGCAGCAGAGGGGACTGCTATTGCTCCTCTTTGACACCGCCCCCACATACAACATCACAACCCAGTGACCTGGGTGGCCCCGCCCTGGCGAACACCTAAGGCTCCACTCCTCATACCTAATAGGCACGAACAGAGCAAAACATTATGGCTCAAGAAGAACTCAAAGCCCCAGAGCCCATAACTCTAAGCAACCAAGAAATAGCCAAACTTTCAGATGCACAGTTCAAAACACTGGTGATCAGGATGCTCACAGAACTTGTTGATTTTGGTCACAAATTAGAGGAACAAATGAAGGCTAAACTAATTGAAATGAAGGGTAATGCACAGGAAACCAATAGTGATGGAAAGGAAACTGGGACTCAAATCAATGGAATGGACCAGAAGGAAGAAAAAAATGACCAAACAGAAAAGAATAAAGAAACAAGAATTTTAAAAAGTGAGGAGAGGCTTAGGAACCTCCAGGACATCTTTAAACGTTCCAACATCCAAATTATAGGGGTACCAGAAGGGGAAGAAGAAGAGCAACAAGTGGAAAACTTCTTTGAACAAATAATAAAGGAGAACTTCCCCAATCTGGCAAAGGAAATAGACTTCCGGGAAATCTAGGAAGCTCAGAGAGTCCCAAAGAGGTGGGACCCAAGAAGGAACACACCAAGGCACATCATCATTACATTAGCCAAGATTAAAATGAAGAAGAGAATTCTAAAAGCAGCAAGAGATAAGGGGACAGTCACCTATAAAGGACTTCCCATCAGACTGTTGGCCAATTTCTCAAAAGAGACCTTACAGGCAAGAAGGGACTGGAAAGAAGTATTCCAAGTCATGAAATCCAAAGACCTACAACCAAGATTGCTCTATCCAGCAAAGCTTTCATTTAGAATGGAAGGGCAGATAAAGTGCTTCTCAGATAAGATCAAATTCAAGGAGTTCATCATCACCAAGCCCTTATGATATGAAATGTTAAAGGGACTTATCTAAGAAAAAGAAGATAGAAAAGATGAACAGTGAAAGGACAGCAAACTCATAGTTATTAAGAACCACACCTAAAACAAAAGCAAACTAAGAGGACAGCTAGATCAGGAGCAGAACCATAGAAATGAAGATCTCAGGGAGGTTTAGCAACAGAGGAGGTGGGGGGGAGAAGGTACAGAAAATAAGTAGCATAGATGGTAGGTAGAAAATAGATAGGGGGGAGGGCAAGAATAGTATGGGAAGTATAGAATCTAAAGAACTTGAGACACGTTGTCATAAACTAAAGGGGGGGAATGGTGGGGGAGGGGTATGCAGGGTGGAGGGGAATGAAGGGGGGAATGTGACAACTGTAATGGCATAATCAATAAAATAAAATTTAAAAAAACAGATTAGTGATTGTCTGGAGTCGGGGGTGGGAATGACTATTAACTGTAAATGGGCTTGAGGGATCTTTCTGGGATGAAGAAAATGTTCTAAAATTGGATCTAAATTTTAATCGGGACTATAAGTCCTGAGTTGTACACTTCAAGTGTGTAAGTTTTATGGTATATAAATTATAGCTCAATAAAAGCTGCCTTTTAGAAAAGTAAAATCTATTTCCAATGTCTTGAAGCAGCCTTACTTATTTTTTTCTTTTGTTGATTCTTTTCTTCAAGCAAAAGGGCAGTAGTTCGACTCAGTATCTTGACATTGCTCTCAATAGCTTTGAACGTTTCTGGTAAAAGCTCCATTTGTGCTATCCAGTAATGGTGTTCATCAATGTCAGATTCGGTCATCTCAGACAAAATGGCATCTTGAAGAGAGTAAGAAAATTACTTTTGTGCAGAAAAATAAATAATCGTAACTCTATGGGCATATAATATTGGCTAACTAGTCAATGTTGTAGTATTGGGGAATATAAGTATCTCACACTTATTGCTATTCTGAGACTTTTCTCTGTGAGGAAATGAAAAAGGAACAGACTTAGAATAGAAGGTTAAACAGTAAGTCTTGGACATTAAAATACGAATCAATTTAAAAGATGTGTCTATTTGGTTTAGTTCCATGCCTCCAGGGAAGTAGGTATCTAAAATGAGAACATGTGTGTCAATGTTGGGGATCTAAACCCCATTAAACTCCTTTGGTAAGTAATCTACTATTTTATAACCCCTGTTACTTGAGATTTCTTGCAATCAAATGAAATTATTTTTTCCATTCTTAGTTTATTCACTTTTTCATTCAACCAACATCTTCTCTATCATGTACTGTTCTAGATTTTGAGGATAAAACATTAAATAAAACAAATTTCTTGACTTCATACTACTTACATTCAACCAAAAGACAGACAAAAAATAAAAATAAAAATATTAATTATATAGTATGTCAGGCCCTGGCTGATATGGCTTAGTGGATTGAGCACTGGCCTGCATACTAAAAGGTCACCAGTTCAGTTTCTAGTAAGGCACATTCCTGGGTTGCGGGCCAGGTCCAGGGTTGGGGGCATGTGAGAGGCAAACGATTGATGTATCTCTCATACATCCATGTTGTTCTCCCTCTCTCCCTCCCTTTCTGTCTCTCTAAAAAATAAACAAAGAAAATCTTAAAAAATAAATAAATAGGTAAAAATATAGTATGTCAGTTGATAAGGAATGGTATACAGACAAAAATAAAGAAGAGTGAAGAGTAATGGACAAGGCATAGGGAATGGGATGGTCAGAGAACACCTTATTTTATTTTCCATTTTCAAAGGTGTTTAATAGCAGCATTATTTTCTATTAAAGAAAAACAAAGTTCAAATGCTCAACAATAACTATATTCAACACTTGATATACATATGAATATAGATAAAGGCTGCTAAGTAGATACTGGATTTAAATAAAGGTACTATAAGTATAATTTATTATAACTTATAAGTAAGAAAAAAGTAATTGTCTGAAAGAGATAGTAGAAATTTATTTTCCAATACTCTTTAATTTGGATCCCTCCCCTCCCCCACCCCACTGCCTGCCAACTGAACTGGCTTCCCATCATTAACCAAACTGATGACTCTCTGCCAGGCAGATTTTGTCTGTCTCCTTTCACTAGGTTCTGTTCTCTAGCTTTTTCATTAACTTTGTGGTTTTCCTTCAAAGGACACACCACCAGCCACTGGTTCAGAGGAAAGAGAATACCTCATTTTAAAGTAAGATATAAGCAGAGAATGAACCATGTGGCTACTGGTGGAAAATGTGCGAGGCAAGGTAATAGTAAACATAAAGGCAAAGGGCGGGAGCATGCTGACATGCCTGAAGCGAAACAAGGAGGCCAGAATAGTTGGCAGTAAGTGAGCAAGTCCTATATTCTTATTGTTCTATTATTATGAAACAGAGGACAGCTGTTCTCTGAATAACTCCTTAGTCATTTCTTTTCTAGCCTTCTTCTAATCCTTCAGAATTTACTTACTGATTCTGTTCTCTAGCTTTTTCATTAACTTTTGTAAACTTACTCCATTCTTTCAGCCAGGCCAGGATGTGGACAAGTGTCTTTTCTTTAATTTCAGCAGAATTAGCATAAGCAGCTATTTTCCCCAGGAAATTTACTCTCTGTTTCTTATGTTCTGTAAGGGAGATTTTCCTTCTGTGGTACACATTCTCATCAATATTGTAGGGTCTTATCTTGTGCCACACAGTTTGCATTATATCAGCCAGCTGCATATTAATGTCCTATAAGAATAAGAAAGGGGAATATATTAATAAATTCTTAGTTTGACACTAAGCTTTGGTCACCTCTCTTGCCAGAATGTGACAGTGATTATTAAACAATGCAATCAAAGTCCTGCTAATTCTGCCTTTACTGTGGGACACAGATTTTCCCTCTTAAAATTTTTTTTCTGCCCTCATCATCCTAGCATTACTATGATAGAATGAAAAACATAAACACTTGGGGTGATCCAAGATGGCTGCAGAGTAGATGGAAGCTACACATAACTCCGGTACCAAACTGGATTTACTGCTGAACTATAGAGCAATCAACCTGTATGACCAGCTGAAGGACAGCTGAACAGGAGTATTGTAACCAAGAATTTATAGAAGCTACACAGACTGGTAAGAAGGGCGGAGATGCAAGAAGGTTGGCCCCTGCACCCAGGTGTGGTGGTTGAGAAGCCAGAGGGATATCTTGGCTTCAGAAAACCCAAGGAGCATGGGGTCTTAATCCCATGCCAGGACCCTCAAACCAGAGAACCAGGGCAGGGAAGAGGATTCTGCATAGCATCTGGCAGCAGAAAATGGCGGGGACCTGGAAAGAGGATCTGCTAGATCCTGCTAGATCCCAGGTGCTCTCCTAAAGGGCCAACACACAAGCACTCACTCTTGGGTACTCACCTGGGGCTCTGGTAGAGGGAAGGTCCCTCAGGACATACAGAAGCCACAAAGAAAATCTGGGTGGCAGGCTCCTGAGAGAGATCTGAAGGGTCAGCTTCTGAGGTCCTGGTCCTGTGTCAGCATCCCACACCACCCTCAGGCACCATCTCCCAGGACTGGGCACTCCTCTATTTTTTTTTTAAGTAAATGTATTTTTTCAGTTTGTTTGTTTGTTTATAGAGAGACAGTAAGGGAGGAAGAAAGAGGAGGAGAGAAAACATGAGAGAGAAACATTGATTGATTGCTTCTCATATGCGCCCTGACTAGGGAGATTGAACCTGCAACCTAGATGTGCCCTGACTCAAAATCAAACCAGTGATGTTTTGCTTTGTGGGATGATGCCCAATCAACTGAGCCACATGGGTCAAGGCAGTACCCCTATTCTTGTAGCACCAGCTTGGAGGGTGCACTAAACCAGTCCTCCAAATACTGGCTATACCACCTTGCCATGCCTGAATCCAGCAGAAAGGACTGTTGGCTGCACCCAAAATAGACCTGGGATGCACTCTTTTTTTGGAGAAACTATAGGCAAACTCTTAGATAGTCATTGAACTGTATGTCTTTGGAACAGGGATAATATTCCCCCCTCTTGCGAATTTGGCAGGCACCACCCCCAGTGGAAGACTCCCTTGTCAAGGTCTCTGGTGGTGATGCTGCAGAGCTAATTGGAGGTATGCAGCTTGCTCCCCTCCAGTGGTCTGCACCACCCCCAAAGGAGGGCTGGCTTGATCTGCATTCCCAAATTTCCCTGGTCCAGTCCTGCTAAGCTCAGTTCCACAGGGTGAATGGGGCACAGCTCAGAGCTGGGACCTATGGTGTGAACCCTTTGGAGCCTTCTGTTGGGGTCTCTGGCAGTGCAACTATGGAGCTAGGGCCAGGCATGCAGGTGGCTTTCCTCCCACAGGCCAGCACCCCCCCACACCAGAAGACTGCCTTAACCTGTTTTTATAAGGCCAGCCAGCCCCATGCTGTTGGGCTCAGTTCCTTGGGAGAAAGGTGGCTCCACTCAGCTGGGACATTTGGAGTGCACCTCTCTCAGAGTCTCCAGTCTGGGGCCCAACCAGGCATCACTACAGAGCTAAGGGGAGGAGTGCAGCTTTCCCCGTCCCGTGGCCCAGGTGGTGGCACCCAAAATGGAAGGCTTTCTTAATCTCTTTGCCCAATTCCCAATGGCCCCATTCTGCCAAGCTCTCTCCTGTAGCCAGGACAGGTGGCAACACCCTACCTAAACCTGTGGTGTGCTCCTCCTGGGGGAGCTAGAGTTGGAGACTCTAGCAGAGACTGAATGTATGGCTTGGAGTAGGGATCACATTCTCCCTATTGAGTGCCTGACCATGCTGCCTCCAAGTAGTGGACCCACTAGCCCCATCCGACTATCCCAGTTACCCTGCCTTATCAAGCTTGAGCCATGTGGAAGGATCAATGGGGCATGGCCAGCTTGGACCCACCCTACAGCCTTTCTTCATAAGACTCTGGAGGAAGTTGCCCTGGATGGTGTAGCTCAGTGGATTGAGCGCCGGCCTGCAAACCAGATAATTGCGGTTCTATTCCCAGTCAGGGCACATGCCTGGGTTGCAGGCCAGTTCCCTGCAGGCCAGTTCCCAGCAGGGGACGCACAAAAGGCAACCATACATTGATGTTTCTCTCCCTCTCTCCTTCCCTTCCCCTCTAAAGATAAATAAATAAAATATTAAAAAAAAAAGAGGAAAGTGCACTCAGCCCACACAAAGGGTGCACCTTGATTATCCAGCTTGGGTGATAGGGGAGACTGTGCCACTGGACCCTACAGGACACCTAATACAAGATACAGAAACAGCAGCTCTACCTAATGCATAGAAACAAACACAGGGGGGCTGCCAAACAAAGAGACAAAGAAACATGGCTCAAATTAAAGAAACTTAGAAAAAAGAACTAAACAAAATGGAGATAAGCAATCTGTCAGATGCAGAGTTCAAAACACTGGTTATAAGGATGTTCAAGGAACTTAGTGAAGATCTCAACAGTATAAAAAAGATTCAGTCAGAAATGAGGTATACACTGAAGTATACACTAATTGAAATATAGAACAATTTACGGGGAATCAACAATAGAGTGGATGAAGCCAAGAATCAAATCAATGATTTGGAACATAAGAAAGAAAAAAACCCACTAATCAGAAAAAGAAGAATAAAAAAATATAAGGATAGTGTAAGGAACCTCTGGGACAACTTCAAGTGTTCCAACATTTGCATCATAGAGGTGCCAAAGGAGAAGAGAAAGAGCAAGAAGTTATAAATCTATTTGAAAAAATAATGAAAGAACAATTCGAATGGGCCTATACACCCCAATGTTCATAGCAGCACAATTTACAATAGCTGTGTGCTAGAAGAAACCTAAGTGCCCATCAGTAAACGAGAGGATCAGAAAACTACGGTGCATTTACAAAATGAAATACTACACAGCTGAAAGAAAGAAGAAGCTTCTACCCTTCATTACAGCATGGCTAGAACTGGAGAGCATTGTGCTAAGTGAAATCAGCCAGGCAGTGAAAGACAAATACCATCTGATTTCACCTGTAAGTGGAACCTACTCAATGAAACTAACAAGAGCAAGCTAAATATAAGCAGAGAAATTGAAATAAAGAAGAAACGGTAACCAGAGCGGGGGGGGGGGATAAGGGTGGAAAGAATGGGCAGGTTGTCAAGGAACATGTATAAAGGACCCATGGACAAAGCCAAAGGGGGATAAGATTGAGGATGGGAAGGGGCGCTGGGTAGGGCAGGGAAAAGTGGTGGTAGAAAAAAAATGAAAGAAAAAAATAATGAAAGAAAACTTCCCTAATTTAGTGAAGGAAATAGACATGCAAGTACAGGAAGCACAGAGAGTCCCAAACAGGATGGATGCAAAGAGGCCCACTGCAGGACATATCATAATCAAAATGCCAAAGGTTAAAGATAAAGAGAAAATCTTAAAAGCAGTAAGAGAAAAGAAGTTAGCTACGTAGTACAGGGGAGTTCCTGTAAGACTGTCTTCTGATATCTCAAAAGGAACTTTACAGGCTAGAAAGGATTGGTAAGAAATATTTGAAGTCATGAAAAGTGGAAACCTACAGCCGAGATTGCTCTACCCATTTATCTACCCTTTGATTCTATCATTTGGAATTGAGGGGCAAATAAAGAGCTTCCCAGACAAGAAAAAAACTAAAGGAGTTCATCATCACCAAACAATTATTAATGAGATGTTGAAGGGACTTATTTAAGAAAAGAAAGATCAAAACTATGAACAATAAAATGGCAATAAATACATATTTATCAACAACTGAATCTAAAAAACTGCCTAAGCAAACAAGAAGAACAGAGACAGAATGATGGCTATAGAGAGCATGGTGATGATTGCCAGATTGCCAGATGGGGGAATGGGTAAAGAGGTGAGGGGATTAAGAATTACAAATAGGTAGTTACAGAGTAGTTATGGGAATGTAAAGTACAGTATAGGAAATGGAGTAGCCAAAGAAATTACAGGCATGACCCATGCCTGTGATTTGAACAAAGGACATGGGCAAAGGTGAGGGGATTGCCTGAGGAAGTGGGTGGTGCCTAGTGGAAAGCAGCAAAAGGGAAAAAATTGGGACAATTTGTAATAGCATAATAAAATATTTTTTTAAAAAAGACATAGAGGAACATGTGGGTAAAGAAAAAATAGCATTGAATAAATACCTATCAATAATAACCTTAAATGGGTTAAATGTTCTAATCCAAAGACACAGAGTAGCTGAACGGAGATAAAAACATGACATGTATATATGCTGTCTGCAAGAGAAGCATGTCAGAACAAAAGATACACACAAACTGAAAGTGAAGGGATGGAGCCTTGCTGGTTGTGGCTCATTGGTTCGAGTGTCATCTTGTAACTGAAAGGCTGTGGGTTCAGTTCCTGATCAGGGCACATATCTAGGTTTTGGGTTCATCTGTAGTCCAGGCATGGGCACATGCAATCCCTGGTCTGGATGTGTACAAAACCTGGTCCCAGCACAGATCCCTGGTCTGGGTGCATACAGAGGCAACCAATTGATGCTTCTTTTGCATTGATATTCCTCTCTCTACTTTCCTCTTCCCTTTCTCTCTCTCTAAAAAAGTAAAACTGAAAAATGCCCTCAGATGAAGAGAAAAAGAAAAGAAAAGAAAGTGAAAGGATGGAAAAAATATTCCATGCAAATAGAACCCCCCCAAAATTTGGGGTAGTAATATTTATATCTAACAAAATAGATTTCAAAACAAAAGTCATTAAAAGATAGACTTCTGCCAAGATGGAGGTGTAGGTGG